AAAGAAAAGAAAGGGCTAGGGATGTAGCTCAAAGGCAAAGCATCCCTGCGTTCAATCCTCATTATTAAAAAAAAATAATTAAACATTATGTCTTTAAGAGTCCCTTTGCTTCTCTTGCTTTGTATGGCTTATACTTATTAATTATACTTAAATATTTGACTTCTTGGTGGCATTAATACAGTTCTGTGGGGAGAAAGCCGATGTTAAAAAATAAAGTTTATAGAACATCTGTTGATTTCATCTTTCTGGCCCATTCATGGTTCCATTGGCATGGATAGTCAAGAAACTCCTGTATCAAAATACAATATTAATTATACTTCACAATGTATGAAACACTGGCTAAACATTGCCATTCCTGATAACCTGAATTTTATCACTTAAACTTTCATAACTAAAGCCGCAATTTTTTTAATATTTATTTTTTAGGTGTAGATGGACACAACACAATACCTTTATTTTTATGTGGTGCTGAGAATGGAACCCAGGCCCCGCCCATGCTAGGAGAGAGCTCTACCACTGAGCCACAATCCCAGTCCCTAAAATTACATTCTTTATGTAGCATTTATTCTGTATAGGATTTATCCACATACAATGACTAAACAACTTTAAAACAATGGACTGTTACTTGTATAAAATCACCTTATAAAAGAGAATGATACACAATACACCTGTGAGTAAGCTGATATTCTAGGATTCAGAAAACCTGATCATTCTAACCCTATTTTTTGCCATTGATTCACTGGCTGTTTTAAATAGGCTGCTTTACTGTTCTGTGCCTCAATTTCTTTACCTTTCATGTGGGATAACTGTCCTACTTCATAGAAATGTAAAGAAAAACAAAAATTATTAAATAATTTGCAGATATAAAATGCTATATAAATGATAAATAGTAATACTGATACACTCTAATATAAAATAACATAAAAATTTTCATATAGAGAGTTTGGTCCTCCTGTACCTGTTTACTATCACCGTTCTCAGTTACATTCGTCTTTTTATGCCATAGTGATTTTAGTGATTTTCTACACTACTAATTTCAGACTGAAAATACATTTTAAAAAACTAATATGAGTAGAAATTTCAATATATCTTAGCACGACTTAGCAAAATAATTTTAATGAATTGAGTTCTGAGCTCATATATAACCGGAACACCAAGTTTTTTTCATCCACTAAGCAGTAACTTGGCCACATAGGAAGCAATGACTATGTTTTGATTGTATTACTCAAAAACATAATATTGAAAAATATTAAAACTTCTGTTCTTAAAGTTTTAAGATCTCATGATCATACAAGGAACATCAAATGCTAAAGATGTGATCTGCTCACTAAGACATCCTATCTTAGTTACCTGCTTATAAATACAGTCAATAATAGTAGTAATGAAGTGAGCTTTTGATACTCAAGGGGAATACAAGAAGTTGTYTAGCTCCATGATTTTCAATTCTGAGTTCTGCAGAGGCGCCTGGGAAGAGGCACAGGGAAGATGTGCCACAGCAGCTTGATTTTAGAGCTTCTTCCTCCAATGTTGAACTTCTTTATGAAACAATTCATTTGAAGTTTCTTGGGTTAAAAAAATTTTTTTTWAAACTGATGCTGGTTTGTTTTTCTTCTTCCAGACACTAGGCATGACTGTAGTAGTGGTTTATTTTTGCAAAACTTCATCCCTTCAACCAGTCACTCTTGAAAACAATAAAGTGAGAAGGACATCCAGAAGATAATAAACAGCATATCTGCAAAAGCAAACTTTGGCCTAATCAATTCCCATTATTTTCTTGATGTTGAAGAAGAAAGAAAAAAAAATCCTTGGCATAAATAAAGCTTATTTAAACAAATTATATCCCTGTGTAGCATTTTCCCACATTTAAAAGCTAAAGAATTCAATTTTCTCAGAAATCATTAATAGATAGTTTCATTCTAGAAAATAATTTTCTCTAAAGTCTTACATACATATGATATGATAACTGGAGTCATTATTTACAACTTGCAAACATTCTTAAATGTTCTTCTTTTATGCTGCTAAAATGATAGAATAGATGTTTTGTTTGCTGAATCTGACAGCTGTTTGGTGGGTACTGTTTGATGCTTGATATAAACAGTTATGAAAAAGCATTCTTTCTGAAAAAGGCAATTAAAGTGCTGGTAACAGTGTGTTCAGTGGACATTGCTGAAGTTCATGCTGATGTGTGTGAAGTTTGCATGCAGAAGATAATAGCATAAAAGAACATTTAGGTCATAGACTAAAGTGCGTTAGGGTATACACATGCAAGCACTACTTCATTTCTATGAATAAAGCTCAAATCAGTCATTTTTCCTATTGGCCCCAACAACTAAAAATCAGGTTACAATTTGGAAAGGTGTTAGTATCACTCTGGTGAGACTAGAGAATGGCAGGCAATGCCTCCCTCTTCAGATATTACTTAGTAGTTAAGAATCCTGATTTAGGAATGGTCATGTTGGGAGAACCAATGAACTCAATACACACAGGTAGTCTTGAGCCAACTGGAAATTTGCCATCAGGGCAATCTTGGAAAAGACTTAAGTATCATGAAACAAAAGTAGTTATTTATCTATTTAAAAAAWTTTTTAAAGGATATTAAGTCTTGTGCCCACAAGTTGGTATCAAGGACAATCATTAACTAAAGAATAAGGAAATAATAACAAAAATATCATCTTGAGGTATGTCATGGCATTTAAAAATACAGTATAATACATGGATCCTCACTATATGCCATAATTACATTATATTAAGCTTCACTATGGTAACTTGCAGAGACCCCTCTTTTGTGTGTGTGTGTATGGTACTGGTGACTGAGCCCAGGGGTGCTTTACCACTGAGTTACATCCACAGCCCTTTTAATTTTTTGAGACAGGGTCTCCCAAAGTTGCCCAGGCTGGCCTCAAATTTGCAATCCTCCTGCCTTAGCCTCCTTTGTAGCTAAGACTACAGGCATGTGCCTCTGTGCCCAGCACAAAGAACTTTATGAAGTACCATTGTTCTGATATTTATATTTTATCCTTAGAACTAAAAACAATGCTTCTCCAATTTTGCTGTGATGTTGGAATGTTTCATAATTCACACTGGGGAGAAGTTTAAACTTTGTATCCTAGGATAAAAATTTGTTGTGAAAAATATAAACAAGATATGCAAAAATGCTCAAAGCATTTAAGACAATAATTTGTTCAAATAGTTTTGTTTTAAATTTATATATAAATAACCCGACAAAAATATGACAGAATGTATTTTAGTGACATTACTTAACACTATTTGAATAACTTAACATAAAGATATAGGTTGCTGAAAGTGACTAAATTCTTCTTTCATACATTCTAATTCTTTGTGTGTGTGTGTGCTGAGGATTGAACCCAGGGCCAAGTGCTAGGCAAGCACTCTACCACTGAGCTATATCCACCCCTGCATTTTCTAATCCTGATTCTCATAATGTGTTTTTTAATTCTAAATCTGACTTTTATCATTACTGCAGGCCTGTAAGGTTTGATTTCAATTCTCTGTCATTTCAGGAGACATATTAGGAGAGACTGATAAAAGAGGATTACTTAAAACCATAGTCTGTCCAATCATCAGTTGTACCACTCATATTTTCTGACCTTAATTTCCTCAGAGGTACTATCTCCTTTACTAAATAGTGAGAAAATATGTGATAGAGCACTTTAAAGTAATATATAGCACTAGATAAACGTTAGAAATTATTCTTAAGAACTGGAGAGAACCTTCTAATATATTTTTTAAACTTTTTATTCATTTTTTTCTTTTAGAGAAGAAGAAAACTGTTATTGACAGATCTTTTTTTTTTTTTTTTTACAAACTAACTACCTTTAGTTTTAGGCAGTGTGTTTCCTATTTTGAAAAAATGATGTCTGTATATAATCTTTGGTCAGCCTCTATGTTAGTTTTTTCTTTTAAATAATACTGACTACATAAAAGTTATTTTTTAAGGACAAAAATTTTAAATATGAACAAACTCAAGCATTTCTTATTAGTCTTCAGTCATTAATCCTAATCATTTAGAATACTAGAAAGTGATTGGTTGCTTCAGATCTGAAATTAACAGCAAAGTGAGTTGCTACACCCTTAAATTTGCTCTTACCCGTTTTCCCTGTGAAACTTAATATTGGTAATGTATTTGTCTTTGAAACAYCTTAAAATTGTCTTATATAAAGCTTGGCTATGATAAATTTATTTAAAATATTTTCTTTGAAGAAAATTTGCTAAGTATATCTTCCAATATTAAAAGAAAGAACGTATCTGTAATAAAGAGGGTAACTGTTCATCCATCATGCCAACTCAAGCTAGGTCTTTCTTTCCAGTGCAGCAACATATTTTAGGGCAACAAAGTTCAGAATGGATACAATGGCCTGTTCAGAAAGCATGCAAGTTATTTCAGGTCATTTCTTTTAAGTCAGTATGATAAATTTGTTAACCAGACTCTGACCATGGAAAGGAGAGATACAGGAAGTGAATGGAAATTGCAGACATGCCAGCTCTGTTGGTTCATATTACAGCTACCTAATGTTGGGCTTTATTTCTTTTTCTTCTTCTTCTTCACTATCATCAACCTGTTGTATGACCAGATCGGCAGACCCATCCTCTACAATCTCCACATAGGATCTATTCTCATCTTCACTCAATTGCCATCGGGAATGTTTATCTCCATCTGATGGGGACATAAGATGTTGCTCAGCTTCCAAATCAATGGGGAGGCTGTCTATGCCAACTTCTGCAAGACACTCATTACACAGTCTGTAGCGCCTGGTTCCTTCCTGTACCACTTGCCCTGTTAGGTCAGTCACATGGCGTTTGCATTTTCTGCAGATTAGTTTGCATGCCTGGTGAATCTGTGTAGAGATTTAAATAGTGATAAAAATGATTTTTCAAAAGCAGGACAGTTTGATATTTTAGGTATCAGTTCATAAATCTGAGATGTCCAAAGCCATGCATTAGACTCAAATTAACATCTAATCATTAGAAAAGGTTTGGGGGATAAATTGATGTCACAGAAATATTAAATATCATTTTCTCTAAATGATAGTGGTTTTATTATTTTTTAAAAGTTTGTATTAGTTATTGATGGACCTTTATTTATYTGTTTATATGTGGTGCTGAGAATTGAACCCAGAGCCTCACRTATGCTAGGCAAGCACTCTATCACTGAGCCAAAACTCCAGCCCCAGTGGTTTTATTTTTAATGTTACATACTGAATAATTTCATATATCCTTTAACCCAACAGTATTTTGATATCTAAGGTAAAAAGGGACACCTTCCTAGCATAAAAATAATTGCAAACACTTACTATGTGCCATGTATTGTATTATATTGTTTTTTTAAATATTTCTTGAGTTGTCAATGGATCTTTATTTTATTTATTGATACATGGTGCTAAGGATCGAACTCAGGGCCTCACGCATGCTAGGCAAATACTCTACCACTGAGCCACAACCCTAACCCCCGATGTATTGTTTTTAAAGACTTTACTATTTTTTTTTTTTTTTTTTGCAGTACAGAATGGAATCCGGGGTGTTCTAACACTCAGCTTTGGCCCTAACCTTTTTWTAAGACAGTGTCCTGCTAAATTGCTGAAGCTGGCCTCAAACTTGAGATACTCCTGTCTCACTCAGCCTCCCAGATTGCTAGGGTTACAGGGCACACCACCACACTCAATTCCCTTTTTATTTTGAGTCAGGTTCTAGCTAAGTTTCCCAGGCTGGCCTCAAACTTTGTGATTCTCCTGTCTTAGCCTGCCAAGTAGGTGGGATATAGGTATGTGCCACTTTACCTAGCAGGACTTGATATATTTTAATTCAGAGAGGAAAAAACCTTTTGTTTATGTATTATTATTTTTTTTGTTATTTAACCAAAGAAAAAAAATATTATCCCAAATATATATATGTATGTGTATATATATATATGTATATATGTGTGTATATATATATATATATATATACACACACACACACACATATATACATATAATTTTTTAAATATTTATTTTTTAGTTTTAGGTGGACACAATATCTTATTTTTTATTTTTTTATGTGGTGCTGATAATCAAACCCAGTGCCTCACACATGCTAGGCGAGCACGCCTCCACTTGAGCCACAACCCCAGCCCCTATTAACTTTTTTTTTAAACCAGGGATTTAACCCAGGAGCACTGAACCACTGAGCCACATCCCCAGCACTTTTTATATTTTATTTTGAGACAGGTTCTTTCTAAGTTGCTTAGGGCCTTGCTAAATTGCTGAGGTTGGTTTTTAACTCACTATCCTCCTGCCTCAGCCTCTGGAGCCACTAGGATTACAGGCATGTGCCACTGTGCCTGGCCCCAAATATAAATTAATCAATATTTTTGGATAGAAGGATTCTTAGCTGTCTTTATTAATAAAAGAACTGGTAGAAATAGGATCACACTAGGAATCAGAAGGCTTGTGTTCTAGTCCTAATTTTGTCATTTTCTATCTTTGTCAATTACTAACCTTGAACCTTGGAGCAAGTAATTTTAAACATTATCATTCTGCTTTCAAGGTGATAGTCAAAATATGTAACTGTATGATATGGCCACTCCCACTGGCCCCACCCCCAGGAAGATGGGAAGCCTGACTAGTCCAAATGGGCACTGGTCACAAACAACCTATAGGTCGTTTTTTTTATACATCAACCTATTATTATCCCAGCCTGATTCTTTTTTTTGTGGTGCTGGGGATTGAATTCAGCACCTTGTGCATGCAAGGCAAGCACTCTACCAAATGAGCTATATCCCCAGCCCCACCCTGATTCTTTATTGTTAATAGGCACACTACTCATGGGGTTGATGTGAGAACCGAATGGGTTAATAGGTGTGGAATGCTTTGGTTAAAAAGTTKTAACTGATGAACGATTATAAATCATTTTAGTTAGTAATAAACAATTTTGTTCAATAGCTGTTAAGAGAAGTAGATTATGGGTTCTACTATAAAAATTATGAGAATTAATTGTATAATGATGGATTAATGTTTATGAAATACTCATTTAGAGAAAGGCAGAAAAGTTTGAAAACCAAACAATAAAATAAAATTTTAAAAAACTATTTTAGTTTGGTAAAGTATCTACGAGTATGTATAGAACATCATTCAGGACAGTTATTATCTTCTGCTTAACTGTTGACATTAAATAGCAAATATTAAAAGTGTACAGTTGAAAAGAATACTTATTTTCCTGAGAGAATAATATTATGGGTATCACATGTGGTGGTGTTTTTGTTAACAGAGTATTGACAAAGATTCATGAATTCTAATATAATTATGATGTCAAAGAAATTAAGTGAAACACTACAATGTTTAAACTGAAAATATCAATATGAACTCATAATTTWAAAAAAATATATATGTATATATTAAAATGTATATATGTGTCCACTGAAATAATTTAAAAAGAAATGATGGGCCAGGCGAGATGGCGCAGGGCTCTAATCTCAGCAGCTGGGGAGGCTGAGACAGGAGGATCGCAAATTCAAAGCCAATCTCAGCAATAGTGTGGTGCTAAGCAACTCAGTGAGACCCTGTCTCTAAATAAAATACAAAATAGGGCTGGGGATGTGACTCAGTAGTTGATGTGTCCCTGAGTTCAATCCCCAGTATCCCCCTACCCCCGCCAAAAAAAAAAAAAAAAAGAAAAAAGAAATGACAGGTTGGGATGTAGTTTAGTGGTAGAGGGCTTGCCTAGCACGTGCAAAGCCCCGGGTTCCATCCCTAGCACTGCCAAAAAAAAAAAAAAAAGACACATGACAACTCCATAACAGTGGGTACCCAAATTCTGGTCTCTAATTTCACCCCTCCTGAAAGGAACCTACGTCCTCCGAGAAGTGGCTGATTCCACTTCTGTGGTAGGGAAAATATGAGGTGGGTGTAGGCCTCTTTTGGGTCCAGTGAACGAGGATACTTTTGAATGTAATGGGATGTGTCCAAAGGACATAAGAGCCACTTTAAGGTAGAGAATGGTCTGGATATAACTCTGAAATGTATCAAGAAGCACAATGAACCGATGAAAATTCCTAATACTCTATGGTATCTAAAACAGCAAAGCCTGAGAAAGCTCATATAATGTCATTGAGGCTGCTATTAAATCAATTCTTCACTTTGAAAATTGATTTAAGAGAAAGAAACAAATGTTTATCCTCCTTCTCCTATAGGATTTGGATTTCAAAATAACCAAATAGCTCCAGATGATAAAGGGAAATTTTGCTTCATAGAATTCCAGCTAATACTGTAGAAGAAATTATAAATTGATAAATCATTCCACAACTCTAAATAAAATCATTTGTTTTTGTTTTTTTGGTGGTAGTGGTGGGGATTGAAACAAGGGCCTTGTGCATGCAAGGCAAGCACTCTGTCAACTGAGCTATGTCCCCAGCCCTCTAAAATTATAAYTTCTTACATATTATCAATCACTGATAATATCATTGAATGAAGAGTTGATGGGGAAAGGGGTCATTCTTAGATGCCAAAATTCTTTCACAAAAATTCCTTTCTTGTTACAAGGCAGCACCTTGATGTATACAATGGTGGAATTACATTATCATTACCCACAGAGAGAGATCTRTCTTAACATCACAAATGATGGGCTGGGGATGTGGCTCAAGCGGTAGCATGCTTGCCTGGCATGCGTGTGGCTTGGGTTCGATCCTCAGCACCACATACAAAGATGTTATGTCCGCCGAAAACTAAAAAATAAATATTAAAATTCTCTCTATCTAAAAAAAAAAAATCACAAATGATGGGTCCACCAGACGTGTCTCTCCTAATGTAACAGAACATGAAATGTACAACTTTGCCCTTGATGTGTTCTAATTGAAAGTGTTTAACTTGAATCCACTGGGACTTTAGATAAAACTTCTAGTTTATAGAAAATGCAAGGAGAATAATGGAACAAACTAAATGACACCATATGGAAGCAAGCAGACAAACCAGAGTTAGGGTGCTTTGAAGAACCACTGGCTGTCTTCARTAAGTCAGTGTTGGGGTAAGGGAGGGGTATGTGGGGGGGAAACTGTGCTAGATTAAAAATATACTTGAGGTGGAGCAAAGGTGCAGTCAGTGGTAATAAAGCACATACTTAGGATGCGCTAGGCCCTGGGTGTGATCCCCAGCTACGACAAATAAAAGAAAAACATATTTAAGGGATTTAGCAGAGAGATGGTCTTAGACTGGATTCTGGCTTGGACAAACCAGCTCTATTTTGTTTTTTATGAGACATTTTAAGTGCTTGCCTTGCACGCACAAGGCCCTGGGTTCAATCCCCAGCACCGCAAAAAACAAACAAACAAATAAAAAAAAAAACCCAAAACACAAATAAATGATGATTATTCACTAAAGAAAACAGGTTACAAAACAGCATGTACGATATGATCTCATTCGAAGCTAAAAAACAATTATATCCATAGAAGAAATTGTGGAAGACTATATAATAGAACTGTTAAGAATATTAAGAATAGTAACATTGGAGTGATAAAACATTTTTTTTGTTGTTGTTTTCTTTTCTTTATTTTTTTGGGGGGTGGAGTTATGGGGATTGAACTCAGTGGCACTGGACCACTGAGCCACATCCCATCCCTATTTTGTATTTTATTTAGAGACAGGGTCTCAATGAGTTGCTTAGTGCCTCATTTTTGCTGAGGCTGCCTTTGAACTCACGATCAYCTTGCCTCACTGCTGGATCATAGGGATGTGACATCACGCCCGACTAGTTTCTTATTTTTTTATAATACATACTTATTGCTTTTGTAGTAATGAAGGATTGTTTATTATTATTATTTTCTTAAGTAACAGAGAATGAACCCAGGGGTGCTTGATGACTGAGCCACACATCCCCAGTCCTTTTTTATTTTTTATTTTGAGACAGGTCTCACTGAGTTGCTTAGGGACTTGCTAARTTGCTGAGGTTGGTGTTGAACTTTTAATCCTCCTGCCTCAGGATTACAGGCATGAGCCACCAAAAGCTTTTTAGTTTTTAAAACTCTAGTTCCATAAGGTTAACAAAGACAGAGATTTTGCCTGTATTTCTCATTGCTAGCACTTAGAAAAGGAACTGGCATATACAGTGCTCTAAACATATTTGTTGAATAAATAATTATAAAGCAATGCATGATACAATCACTGTAAGTGACCCATTGTCTTTTAAATTTAAAAAGAACGCTTGTAAATGGAACAGAAGCAAAAGTGACAGAACACATATTTCAGAAGAAAACTGTGTTGCCAAGATGAAGGGCAGAACAATTTCAATGTCACTATCTTATGAAACCCCCAGGGCATCAAAGAACAAATTCTCTGAATATTTTTTGACTGCTAACAGTCAATCCCTGACTGGAAGTGGCTTCCTTCCTTTAGAAGACTGGAGAGAAGCTGAAGGGAGCCTAGAAAGGGGATGTAGTGGAGAGAGGTCGGCAACTAGACCAAGATACTACCAGACAGGATTCAGGAATCACTGGTAGATGCCAAATATGTGAAGTGGTGATTCTGACCTAGACATTTAAAACATTTGTACAGTTTGTATTATCTTTGTCTCTGAACACATCAACATATAAAAATATATTTGGTGTGAATTAAAAGAACTGTACTTAGAGGTCTCAAAGGAGACTAAAAGTCTATATATATATACATACATACATACACACACACACACATATACATAAAATTATTATTTTGTGCATGATTTCGAATAATTTTTCCTATGGTAGAGTTATATGAAAAGATATGCCCCTAAACTGGATTATCCTAAAGCAGATAAATGCACATTGCCTCAAGAAGTAAAATGATGGAAGATCATATACATACTGTTCGGAAATGGCTACTTAGGTGGTCTAGCCTGCTAAACCTTTTTCCACAAGCTTGACATGGATACGGCCTTTCTCCTGTATGACAGCGCAGGTGTCGCTTGAGGTCTGCTTTCCGCTTTACCACATGTGTGCAGTACGGGCACTTGAATCGCATCCTGGGCAGGTCATCTGTCACAAGACAGTTTTATTAAATCACTAGAGAGAGCATAACAATTCTATGAACATAAAGAATCCAAAAGGACTTGGTGAGTTCAACCATGGAAAGGTAAAAGGAAGGAGGAAGACATTCTATTAAGACCAGAATTGTCAATGTATTCCTATATAGAACTATAACTTTAGTATTTGATATGTTTACAAAGTCCAGGTAAATTTAGACTATTACACATATGTCTTCATTTAACATACTACAGTCATTACATTWAAAAAAAATTGTTTTGTAGTTGTAAACGGTTAGAATGCCTTTATTTGTTTATTTTTATGTGATGCTGGGGATTGAACCCAGTGCCCTGCACATGCTAGGCAAGTGCTCTGCCACYGAGTCACAGCCCCAACCCCAGTCATTACATTTTTAAATGTAAAAAGGTAGTACTATATTCTTTTTTTGGTACTAGGGATTGAACTCAGAGGTGCTTAACCACTGGGCCACATCCCCCACATCCCCAGCCCTTTCTATATTTTACTTTTTCTAAGACAGGGTCTCACTAAGTTGCTTAGGGTCTCCCTAAAATGCTGAGGCTGGTCTTGAACTTGCAATCCTCTTACCTCAGCCTCCTGAGTTKCTGGGATTACAGGCATGTGCCACTATGCCCTGCTAATACTGGATTTTAACACTATAAACAATGCAAAATTAAAACATTTAATATTCAGATTTGTTTCGTTGGTTGGTTTTTGTTTTTTTAGTAGTGGGGAATTACCTCAGGGGTGCTTAGCCACTGAGCCACATCTCCAGCCCTTTTTTTTTCTAAGACAGGGTCTCACTAAGTTGCTTAGGGTCTCCCTAAAATGCTGAGGCTGGTCTTGAACTTGCAATCCTCTTACCTCAGCCTCCTGAGTTGCTGGGATTACAGGCATGTGCCACTATGCCCTGCTAATACTGGATTTTAACACTATAAACAATGCAAAATTAAAACATTTAATATTCAGATTTGTTTCGTTGGTTGGTTTTTGTTTTTTTAGTAGTGGGGAATTACCTCAGGGGTGCTTAGCCACTGAGCCACATCTCCAGCCCTTTTTATATTTTATTTTGAGACAAAGTCTTACTAAGTTGCTTCTGGCCTTGTTAAGTTGCTGAGGCTGGCTTTGAATTCCTGTCAGCCTCCTGAGCTGCTGGGATCACAGGTGTGTGCCACCAAACCCAGCTAATATTCAAGTTTTTAAGCAATTTGTTTTATTTATGTTTTTTATCACCTTGCCTTTACTTATCATGTACTTGTATAATTACAAGGATCTTTAATATTTGGTTTTAAAGTACACATCTACAAAATGTTAGTTGTGGCCAGACACAATGATACATGCCTGTATTCTCAGTGACCCAGAAGAATGAGGCAAGAGGATTGCAAATTCAAGGCTAGCCTCAGCAACTTCGAAAGACTCTAGCCAAAAATCAAAACAAAAAAGGCCTGGGATATAGCTTAGTGGTAAAGCATTCATGGGTTCAATCCTTAGTACCAAAAAAAAAAAAGAAAAAAGAAAAGAAAATTATTAGTTATAATAGAAGGCAAACCTCAAAAATTTTTTTGTGGTGCTATGGATGGAACTCAGGGTCTCACACATGCTAGGTAAGTGCTCTGCTACTGGACTACACCTCTAGCCCCAGACATTATTTCCAGGAAACACCCCTTTACCASCACCAGATACAAATCCACAGGTGCTCAAGAGACATTAATAGAAATAATGTAGTATTTGCATATAATCTAAGCACATCCTCCCATACTTTAAAACATCTCCATTATTTATAATACCTAATGCTATTTATATTTATATAATATAAATGTTATATAAATAGTTGTGATACCATATTGTTAAGGAAATACAATGATAAGGAAAAAAGTGTACACATTCAGGAAACACACAAACTTGTTTCAAAGATACTTTGAAATTTTTCTAAAATAAACATTTAAAATATATGTAATAGACCCTATAATCCTCAGGGACTTCTTTTTATGAAAATTTTGTTTGGAATTCACATATAAACAATTAAGCAAATTTGTTAACTAGTTCATTGGGGAAGAAGACTGGATGATATATATTTCTAATCCTTCTTTATTTCAGCCATATGGGAATAAGGGTAGTATAATACTCTATTTCTATATTTTATTACTATCATTAAAAAAAAAAAAAAAAAACACAACTGGGTGTGGTGGTGCATTCCTTTAATCCCAGGGACTTGAGAGGCTGGGGCAGAAGGACCAAAAATTTGAGGCCAGCCTGGGCAATTTAGCAAGAATCTGTCTCAAAATTAAGAGAGAGAGGGCTGGGGATATGGCTCAAGCGGTAGCGCGCTCGCCTGGTGTGCGTGCGGCCCGGGTTCGATCCTCAGCACCACATACCAACAAAGATGTTGTGTCCGCCGAGAACTAGAAAATAAATGTTGGAAAATTCAAAAAAAAAAAAAAANAGCGGTAGCGCGCTCGCCTGGTGTGCGTGCGGCCCGGGTTCGATCCTCAGCACCACATACCAACAAAGATGTTGTGTCCGCCGAGAACTAGAAAATAAATGTTGGAAAATTCAAAAAAAAAAAAAAAAATTAAGAGAGAGAGGGATCTTTGTCTTGTCTTTTTTTTTTTTTTTTTCTTTTGGGATTAAACCCAGAGCCACATTCCTAGCCCTTTTTATTTTTTATTTTGAGTCAGGGTCTCAGTAAGTTGCTTAGAACCTCACTTATTTGCTAATGCTGGCCTCAAACTTGTAATCCTCCTGACTCAGCCTCCAGAGTCACTGGGATTACAGGCATATACCACCCACACCTAGTGAGAAAGATATTTTATGTTGTTGCACACTGGTTCACTGAAGAATCACAGTATAAATTTTATGAGTTGTGTGTTACAAATTTAAAAAAAGAAAAGTATCTGGCTTAGTGGTAGAGCCTTTGCCTAGCAAGTTCAAGGCCCTGGGTTCCATCCTCAGCACCACACACACACAATTATATACTTATATGTTGATAAATACTCCTCCTGAGTGAAGACAGGTRGGGGAGGAACTATGTAAAATGAAAATACATATCTTAGAGATTGAACCATTTAGAAAAGACTTTAAACATTTAATAGTAATCCAAACATCCAGATATAGGTTTGGAAAATTATGTGATTTTTTTGTTGTTGTCGTTTTAATATTTTTAGTTGTAGATGGACACAATACCTTTATTTTGTTTATTTAGTTTTMTGTGGTGCTGAGGATTGAACACAGGGCCTCACACACACTAGGTAAGCGACCTACCACTGAGCCGGCCACAACCCCAGCCCCAGATAATTATGTTTTGACCATCAGTATTCTACTGACTGTCATTGAATGTTTCCAATATTATTTTGAGTTAAACATTTTAAATTCATGTTTTATAAAATCCATTTCATTATAAAAGTATGACTTTTAAAAAAATCACTTGGTTTAACTGCCTATGACACACCTAAAATTAGGGCATGTTGAGAAAGGATTTATATATAATAGCAGTTTGGAACCTGGTTGGGGAGTCATGCTCCTTTTGAGTACCTGAAAAACTTCGGGACGTGACCTCAGATCCTTGACCATACTGATAGCCAACAGAAGCAGAGTCCATTTCTGTGTCAATTTGCGCTTGTTCTTCAGCCTGGGAAACATGGCTGGAAGAATCAGACGCACGTGCTTCTCGTTTGCTTGACTTATATTGAGCAGCTTCAGGAGGCTGTGACAGTCGCAGATGCTTGGTCTTTTTAATGGAATCTTTCCTCTGCTCATGCTTGGCCCCAGGGAGCTGAGTGCTCCGTTGGGAGGCCGGAGGGTAATTATACTTACCCCACGACTTTCCACTTATTATACCTGCTCCTTGATCTGGGCTGAGGTGAGAGTGTGGGGAACTGCTTTCTTCTTGCCAGCTGCCACCATAAAAAGCAGAACGCTCTATGCCATTAGAACTGGCATCCTTATCTGAGAGACTGAAGTAGCGATCTTTTTCCTTCTCACTAATGTCCAAGGAAGATTTGATAAAAGTCTTACATACACTAATGACATCAGTCATCTGAAGGAAGCTTGCAGCGGACATCACTTCTATGACATTCTGCCCAGTAAGAGAGAGTTTGCCTGAATAGACAAAGTCCAGGATAACTGTGAAAGTGTCCGGAGAGAAAGCCTGAAATGTAGCTGTGGTTGGCTGACTTGTCTCCTTGGAATTCTGAGAAAGAAGCATTTTGAAGTAGCCACTACTAGCAAATAATACATTTCGATGAGCTTTGAAGACCTTCCCTTCAACTAGAATACTGCAATCACAGAACACATCTTGCCTGCGCTGCTCATTTAGTTGTTGCAGGAGATGAGACTGATGGGTGGAAATCTCCATCCTGCAGGGAGAAGACACAGGAGGTTACCAAGAGTGGGACAGCAACCCCTTCTAGCATGAGTGCACTGAAATCAGGACCAGAAGCCTCTTTTTCCAACAAAACCACTTTTCTTCTTGAAGAATATAGTCCCAAGACATAGAAAATAATAAGCTTCAACATACTACTTAATATTATACTACGTTATTAGATTTTTAGAAATTTTGTTTCACTGGGTGCAGTATCACACACCTATTATCGCAGTGGCTTGGGAGGCTAACGCAGGAGGATTAGCCTCAGCAACTTAGTGAGGCCCTCAGTGACTCAGTGAGACCCTATCTCAAAATAAAAAGCCAAAAGGCTGGGGATGTAGTTCAGTGGTAAAGCATCCCTGGGTTAAATCTCCAGCATCAAAAAAAAAAAAATCATCTTAAAAAAAATAAAATTTTTAGGGGCTGGGGATGTGGCTCAAGCGGTAGCGCGCTCGCCTAAAGATAATGTGTCCATCTACAACTAAAAAAAAAAAAAAAAAAAAAGTGACCAGGAATCAGCTAGCTGAAGAGCGAGGGGAAAGATTCCAGTTCCAACAAATGGTGGTGGAGAAAGTGCAGATGTTTCTCTGGCACAAATCCCTGAAGACGCTGACTAAAATATAACCCAAATTTGTTAAATGTGTTATGGTTGAGCTTGCAGGAAAGAATAAGAAATCCCCAGATGCCAAAGAGGGAGCGGAGCCAGAGCAATAAGTATAGGAGTGAGGGCCAGGAAGGACCACGAGCTCAGCTGGTTTTTTTGTTTTAGTTTGTGGTGCTAGGGATTTAACTCAGGGAAGCTCTACCACTGAGACACCCCCGGCATCTTTTTTATATATTTTTTTAAAATTTATTTATTTTTTAGTTGTAGCTGGACACAATATCTTTATTTTATTTTTATGTGGTGCTGAGGATCGAACCCAGGGCCTCACACGTGCTAAGCAAGCACTTTGCTGCTGAGCCACAGTCCCAGCCCCTCTTTTTTATATATTTGAGTCACTAAGTTGCTGAGGCTAGGCTTGAACTTGTAACCCTCCTGCCTCCGCCTCCCAAGTGGCTGGGATTTCAGGTGTGTACCAGCTTACCTGGCTCAGCTGGTTTTATCAGTAACAAACCCAATGTATGAGGTAGGAAGTTAGAACCCTCCCAGGAGTGCAACCTTCGTGAAAAGGGACTTAGTGAAAAGTTTTGTCCATAGTCTGGGGAAAAGAACAACAAAGTTTTTCTTTGTAGGGCCTTAAGTGGGGGGAAAAAAAAAAAAGATATTCAGATCTAAGATTGTACCTTATCTGATTCTAAAGTCCAAATTTATTTTACCTGCTTAGTGTGGGAAATCTCAACCTGAAGAATTAACACAAAAATTAGCTCTGAGCTGGTGGGGCCCTGGGGCATCTTGCAAACAAATGGAAAATTGCTCAGGACTTATGCTCACAGAATTCAAGCCGGGCAGGAAGTAAGTTCTGAGTAAGCCGAACTCAAAATCATTTCCCCTTTTTAAGTGGAYCATTTCTAATATTGTATAAACATGACATCTAATATTTCCTCTTACAAACAAGCAAGCAAACAAAAACCTCCCCTTGATTTCACATCTACCTCTGCCTACTACCCCATTTCTCTGCTCCTATACACAAAATTCATTGGAAGAATTTTATTTTGTTATTTGTATCTGCTGTCTTTACTTCTGTTCTCCCTTGAACCCATTTCAATCAGGTTTTCATCCCCATTCATCAAAACCATTCTTTGTTTTTGTGTTTATTTTTATTGAGACAGGGTTTTGCTAACTTGCCCAGGCTGGCCTCAAACTTGCAATCCTATCCTCCTGCCTCCTGAGTAGCTGAGATTACAGGCATTTGCCACTGCATCCGGCTTTAAAATAATTCTTTTTAAGGTCACTAGTAACTTGCTTATGGTCAAATACAACGGTCATTTCTTTGCCTCATTTTACCAACACAGTTGATAACTTTCTTTATCCTAAAACACTTTTTGTCACTTGACTGCCAAAACACAATTCCTTCATGGTCCTCTTAACTTCATGGTCCTCTTAACTTCCTGGTCACTCCTACAGTCTCCTTTGCTAATTTTTCTCTATTTTCCTAATTTCTAAGTGATGGAACACTCCAGGCCTCAGACATTTTCTCTAGGGAATGACAGAGGTAGAGAAGATCCCTTGGGATCCCATTCAGTTTCATAATTTTAAATTCCACCTTTGAGTTTATGATTCCCAGATTGGGCTGGGGATGTGGCTCAAGTGGTAGCGCGCTTGCCTGGTATGCGTGCGGCCCGGGTTTGATCCTCAGCACCACATACAAACAAAGACGTTGTGTCTGCCGAAAACTAAAAAATAAATATTAAGATTCTCTCTCTCTCTCTCTCTTAAAAAAAAAAAAAAAAACAGATTCCCAGATTTACATATCCAGCTCCTGGCTTCATCCCTGAACTTCAGACTTAGGACTCATATATCTGTTTACCAGCAGCTCCACTTAAGATGTTTAATAGGCCTCTTAGCTTAACATGTCCAAAAACAGTCTTTGTACACCCCTGACCAGCCTGCCTTCCCTATAGTCTTATCCAYTTCAGGAAATGGGTATCCCCATCCTATCACTTCGTCTGTTACTTTACCTTCAAAACAGATGGAAAATACCACCACTTCTCTCCATGACTGCTACTACCACCTGGGGCACTTAGATTCAATCCCAATACCCCCCCCCCAAAAAAAAAGTGCAAGTGTGTAAGTATACAAGATGTTGCTAAGTTACCTTGGCACAAATCTGTGAATGTGTTTTCTAAGAACTTCTAAGGCTAAATTAATTGATACAGGTGCAGTTACCAGCAATTCTGGACTTAATGTGTCAGTATGGGCACTTGGGAATGGCTCTAAAATTTTTTCACTGGCTGACTGAAACATGAAATGAAGGGTAGGCCATCTTTAATGAGGTCCAGACACCTGAACTTCTGGCATGACGTGGAGGAAGAAACCACAGGACCTAGATGCCATTATGAGAGATGATACCCCAAGAGATTAGGTGCTGTTCCATAGGATGTGATATATGTATTTAAAAGCCCTGACCAAAACATGATGCTACTTTTTTCCCCTGTAGTTAGAAATTAAGGGACTTGCGAGTGGTGATGGGGCTGAGGGTGGCTCAGTGGCAGAGCACATGCTTAGCATTTATGAGGCCCTTAGTTCAATTCCTCAATCCCCAGCACCAAAAAATGAATGAGGGTCTCACTGTATGAGAGGTGAGCCTTTGACAATCACATAAGTCTAGAGCTGAAAAGGATATGTTCAGTAAATGAGAAAGCTCACCTGAAATAATGCTAAAACAGAATAAAATCTGACAAAACTATTTATTTGTTGGTACTGGGGAATGAACCCAGGGACACTTTACCATTGAACTATATTCCCATCCTTTATTTATGTTTTAGTTTTAGGTGGACACAATATCTTTATTTTGTTTTTATGTGGTGCTGAGAATTGAACCCAGTGCCTCACACATGCTAGGCGAGCACTTACCACTGAGCCACAATCTCAGCTCCTATTTTATTTTGAGACAAGTTTTTTTAAATTGCTGGCCTCAAATTTGTGATCCTCCTGCCTTAACTTTCTAAGTCACTGACAAAACTATTTATACAATGTCCTGATGCTATTCTTTTATTTTCCTTTCCTTTTTTGGTGGCACTAGGGACTGAACTCTGGGGCATTATATCACTGAACTACATCCCAGCCCTTTTTTATGTTTTGAGACAGGGTCTTGCTAAATTACCCAAGCTGGCCTCAGACATGTGCCACTCCTGCCTCACAGTCTTCTAAGTTGCTGGAATTTTAGATGAGTGCCACTATGCCTGCCCCTGATAATATCATTTCAATTCCTGGATCCAATTATGCCTGAAGCCAGTGTTGTCACCAGATTTTTAGTTACATGAACCAATGAATTTCCTTTGATGCTTAAATTTAAGCTGAATTTTTATCATTTGTGGCCAATAGTCACATGCTGCTAATATGTGACCCCATACATGGTCCCAACTCACAGCCGATTCAAGAATACTCTAAGTCTTCAGTTCTTTCATAGTTGTGTCAGATAGTACTCCTCTTGAGTGCGTAGCAGAATTTAGAGAGAATATGAGGAAGACCAACAATTTTTTAGCTTTTCTTGCCAATGTTCAGAAAGCTTTTATCACTATGGTTTATAATTAATGTATAAATAGTATATAAAAACTATTGGATTTTTTTTTTCTGTCATGTCTTTTTATAAAAGAATGCCCATATGGGGCTGGGGTTGTGGCTCAATGGTAGAGYGCTCGCCAAGCATGGGTTCCATCCCCAGCACGAGGCACTGGGTTCAATCCTCAGCACCACATAAATGTAAAATAAAGATATTGTGTCCACCTAAAAATATATATATATAATTATTATTATTATTATTATTTTAAAGAATGCCCATCCATTGTCTGGCTATTAAAAAAAAATATTTGGGGCTGGGGTTGTGGCTCAGTGGTAGTGCACTTGCCTAGCACGTGTGAGGCACTGAGTTCAATTATCAGCAACGCATATGAATAAGTAAAATAAAGGTCTATTCTATGAACAACTTTTAAAATAAAAAATCTTAAAAAAAAAAATCTACTTAGCAGGGAAAACAATTTTTATGAGGAAACATTGATGGAATCAGTGCAATCAAGTTAATCATATCACTAAATAGTAGTTCTAATATTGGTATAATGGCAGTTTTTTTCCCCTTTATATGCCCTAAAGTCCTGGAAGGCTTCCAGAAATTTCTTTCACCCATGTTCATTTTTAGTTGTGAGTCATTTCTTCCCAGGCTAAATAATTTTTTATGATATCTTTCATGATATCTTTCCACTAATCTCTAATTAACAGCCAGCCAGTTTTATGAAGGTATTTTTCACAATCCATTGTAAAATATCCATTTTAACATCTAAAGTAAGATTTCTGTGTAGCAGTTTTGCAGTAACTTTAATACTTCACACTCTGTG